CACATTCAGCTAAAGACTATACTTTGAGTTGACCACGCTTCTACACATACAACTTTCTCATAGTCGTGAACTGTGAAGTGTGCCGAAGGTAGGTATGCACAGACTCTGAAATAAAGCTATTTTAACATGGGAAGATGAGTTTGAAGGCGAACAATCATTTTCAATGCTTCACACCCATTTGTGTACCGATGCTATAATGGTCTGATGTTAGTGGGGATTACTTTTGCATTCGGTTCAAAGGTCATTTGGGACAAGGAGAAGGAATGGATTAGGAGATATGGAAAGGTACACCTCTAACTGCAGGACTGCGGTCCCCTTGGAGCATTCCCCACTGAACGCTGTTTTTGACCTTACTTGAAGCTTTTATCCACTACATTTTTTTATTACACACCTAGGTGTGATGAACAGCAGACAGGGTAAACCCCATAGTCACGAGGACCTGCTGTTCAGTGGTCTAAATCGGCAACCTAAGCGCCGGAACTTGGAGTGGCGAACCACACAAAGCCCCGATAGGCTAGGCGTGGTATTGAACCGGACGACAGCAGAGCTGCCTACCACCAAAGTCGGGTGGCGGGGCTCGAACCTCGGACCATAGGGTCCAAAGCACGCCGTTGACAGCGACTAAACCACTGCGCCACCACCACCCACATGACCCACAATGACGGTGTCTATACGCCTTATGCCACCTCACCTTAGGACGGTTGTCATACCGTGAGATCGATGTCGGTATCTCTCTATGGTAGACACTTTCATGACAATCTATTCCTTGAGGTGCGCTTGTAATGTGCTTACGAATCATGAAAAATAAGTCTTCGACCTCGAGCTTGTGTTCTACTGATATGTATAGATTTGAGAAGGATCCAGGATGTTCACTATTTAAGCTCAAAGCATGGGGATAGTGTACTATACTGGAGGGATGTGATGTACACATTGAAACATGGATCACATCCCAGTCATTATCATCATCATCGTACAGTGAAATACAGAGAAGCGAACTTCACTGATCGCTGCCAAACTCGCAGTGCATATGCGATGGGGTTTGGTGGACGGGTACTGCAAGGGTGTTCAGCTACTAGCCAGGAGAAAAATTAGGGTTCTCAACCAAATCCTTTAGTTCTGACAAGAACCTATCCGCAAGGTGGCGGATGAAGCGAAGTGGAGGTCCATTTGCTTGGAACAATTACTCCTCCACTATTTTTTACCGACTGAAATGCAAATTTTAGTTGAATCCTTAGCCTGGAGGACCAGGAGACTGGACTTCGTTCGACCTTTCAGGCCTGATTTGATCTTCGGCTTGACAAAAGCCATCCAGTGTAGCTCGTTAGGTCAGAGAGGTGCACAAGCCATCACACCACGTCAAGGTACACTCTCGTCGTGATGGTTAACTAACACTATATAGAGGAGTTTCGTCACATGACGTCAAACAATAAACCATATTGGAAGCATAGTTTCCTCGTAACGAATTTGAATAAAGAAGCCAAAAACACAGGTTTGCACAATGTATCCTGGATCATTTTACAACCGCCCGGTTGCCAATACAACCGGTGAAAGAACCGCTGTCTCCCCACGCCAAATCTAATTGTATCTATCAGTTCAAGTGTGGATGCTCGGCCATCTACATCGGCGGAACGGAGAGACAACTGCGTTATCGAGTAACCGAGCACATCCCGGTCTGGCTTCAGAAAACAATGAGTGAAAACTTCGGAAGTATGAGATCACCAATGACACGTAGGAAACTCAGTTCGTCGATCACACAACACCTGGTCGAAATGAAACACTGTGTCATGCTGCGCGATGCGTTCAGAATCCTCTACAACACAAACAACACCAAGGTTCTGAAATACGCCGAGGCACCAGCCATTCAAAATTACCATCCCAAACTATGTAAACAGCGTGAATGGCTTATCATTCTGGCGCTACCTTGGTAAGAAATGTGTTTGGTGAGTAATTTTGACCGCAATCTTTCTCCGCCTATGATTCTGTTATTTACTGACCATATATTAATGATCACATAGATTGCAGTATGCACGTGTACAGATGCAGCGAAATGATCCAGGATACATTGTGCAAACCTGTGTTTTTGGCTTCTTTATTTAAATAACCCATATATTCATTTTCCCGCTCCACAAGTTCGTTAACATGTATGTCATCGTGTCATCATCAGCCGAGGTGACATATTCAGTGCTTCTGTCTGTTCAATTATTATACGGTGATGCAACGTTGGCCGAATGTTTTTCTTGCAGGGTTTAAAGCCTGTTTGAGGACCGGCAGTAAGAGTTTGAAATGGAATTGAACTTACATTCCCAGGCATGTAAGGAGTTTACAATTGGAACACGACTCGGACATCTCCGCTAGAAGTCCTACGTTTACATTCTTGTATTTGAACAATTACAGGGGCTTCGCCTCACACAAGACGTTGTAATTGTATTCTTTTTAGTAAAAAGGCGTTCGAAGAAAGCAGCAGTAAAAGCATCCTCTTTATGGCTTTAATTTCGGATGAGGTGTAATCAACGGCTATTACAATCATAGTTAAAGGGGTTTGTAGCTGAAACCTGTGATTGGTAACAACTAGAGAGCCCGTGAACATTCAGGTTGGTTTTTTGTAATCGTATACGTATAACACAGATTAATAAACGAATAGAAAACCTGCGACCAGAAAAACACAAAAGAACGGAATATTTTTACCTCATCTGGGAAAACTGGAGTACCAGCACGAAGAAGTGATTCCACCACAGTCGTCTTGTTGGACAAAATTGCTCTAGTCAGTGACTGCACCGGATCAGCAACAAAGGAATCTTTATGTGTCATCAGAAGATGAGAAATTTCATCTGTGCTTAGTGGGACTGTGGCGTTCTGGTGACAATGATAAGCCCAGTGAACAGTTTTTTGATTGGTCATGACGATTGCGGTGGGATTTGGTGAAACAGGATTTCGAAGGCTGAAAGCGAAATAGGGACCGATGATAAAGAGCTCGAATGAGCGACAAGAAGCTACACCATGGGTACTGCCAGTTATTTACCTACGCGTCAGCGCGGGTAAATAATCATCTCTATGCTGGCAAAAAAAGGCTGGCTTTATTCACTGGTTTATCTTTAGACTATTCAACACAAACGGAAAACC